AAAGTCAAACAAATACTAAACTTTGATAAAAAAAATAATTTTTTAGGAAATATTTTTTTTTCTTTTTTTCGTCTTTTACTTTTTGACAATGGAAACAAATTTTATAACCAATTGTAAAAATAATTATCATTTTAATGAACAATTTTCATATAAAATAAAGCCAAACGAACACAAAATTTAAAAATTTTCTGGGTGAAAAATTATAACAATCAAACACACTTAATTAACAATTTTCTACAAAATATTTTATAGGCAATTACTTTATCTGGAATTCATTTTCTTTCCATCCATTTTTCACCCTTCCAATCAAACGGACCCTAACTGTTCTAAGACAAAAGATACGGGGAGATGAAAAAGTACTTGGGTTACCAATATTGTATCCATGAAAATACAGTACGTGATAATCCAGACCATGATTTATAGCGTGTTTAGTACTGCTTAACGAGACACGTTTAACAAGGGAAAAATGATATATGTAAGTCTAGTGTTCGAAATCTACTCGTGTTTTGTCCACTCTAATCTATCATGCCAGCGTACGGAAACTGCTGGTTCGATAGTTGGCACAATTACAGACACAACAGTTTCTTATAGATTTGAGTCGCATTACGTATACCCATTGCCAAATCTCTTAGAGAAATTTTTGTTTCAGATTTACCGCCAACTCTTTTCTCCAAACACGCCTTTGCCTCCAGCAGCATTTGATCAACCAAATATGCATTCAACTGACTACGTAATTCTTCAAAACTCTCTTCAGCAATTGCCTTCGCTATATTATCAGTGGTGCAAGAAGCATCCAACTCAAAACCGCGCAACAGGCTGTCCTCTCCTTGATCATTCATCTTGTTTTGAATAATCATCGCGAACTCCTCACAGGTGAAGTCGTCAAATTGTAAACTTGCTGAAAATCTTTTGTACAACTCCTTGTTTAACTTCATTGTTTGATTCAATGAAGTACGATTTCCGGCAAATATAACTGATGTTTCCTCCTCGTCCATTATAGATATGACTTCATCCAACTTCTTAGAGTCAAGATCTTGTTCATCTATATCTACGAGCAATATACCTCCTTCTCCGGTTTTCATCTGATAAGGACAAGAGCTTTAGTTACAGTACTAACTTTTGAAAACAAGAGCATGGTTGGTTATATGCTTAAAAAGTTTACTTATAAGTAAAAAAGTTTCATTGTTTTAGTAAACAAAAACAAATAAATTATTGGTCAAAGTTAGAAATGAATAAATTACTTATTTTGATGCTAAAGTAAGAGTTACTTTCAAAATAAGTACATTTTTAACTTAACAGTAAGAAAAAAGTAACATAACAAAAAGTTACTTTACCTTTTTTAAAAAAGCTTAGGTGAACATGATTTAAATGCTACGGTATAATTTTGCCAAGTAATTTACGAGGACAAACCTTTCCCCTTAGTCCTGTTTCAATTACGTCATGAGATGGTAAAGCTCCAGACAAATAAAACAATTTTCCAAGAATTCGAGCTACTGTCGATTTTCCTGTAGATCATACAGCAAAAAATATCTCAAGTTAGCTTCGGTACTAGAACAGATAATGGAAAGCATGCAGCAAAAAAATAAACTACAAAAGGGAGCATTTCAATCAGTTGGTATCCAAGAAGATGTTCAGATGCTTCTTCACTAAGATTTAATTTTTCTTCCTATGTCATAAAGCCGTGGCATAACTTTTTGTTTGAGAAATTTGCCTTATCATGATTTTCAGGTTTCTACGGTTCATCGCTCCTCCAACCCAAGAGCGGCCATGTTCTATCTTATCATTAACCTCAACTGGATGTAAAGAATGTAGGAGTTCTCTAACTTTTTAATCGAATATTCTCCTTTTTGGGTCCATGAAGTCTGATTACCATGGAAGTTAAACAGTATCAATGAAATAATGACCAGAATTGCCAGCATGCTCAAATAAAGAAAAAGCTGCGCTAGAAAATAAGGGGATTAATCAAGTGAAATTTTATATTATGCGATTCTCATTATTTCCAAAATACATTTTTCTCATTTTCTCTTCTTTTCAACTACACGTTCGTCAATAAAATAATATTACACGCAAACCCCAAAACTTTTCGTTATTTTTTAACCGCACATCTTCTGTTAATCTAGTATTCCAAAATGCATTCTTACCTATTCCCGAATAATTACTTTTCACGTTTTTATTTTTTTAACAGAACGTAAAAATAGTATCATGCTCTCTTCGCAGCCTGGAGATTCTAAATTTGTTACAAAACCACGTAATTAACAAAAATGATTTTTACTAATCTGAATTAAGTAATCCCAAACCTTACCAACTATTTCAACTATTCTGGAACTTGTTTATACAGGATTGCAGATTGCTCTTCAAATTTATTCCAGAAAAAACTAAAAACAAAATAACCCTAATTTATGCATAACCAGTTATGTTAAACCGTTAGTACCAATTATCATACGTATGAATATCAATTAGGGTTTATATAGTATACCTGTTCCGGTGTTTCCTATGAACACCATATGAAAGAGCTTGGGAGGAACAACTCGAAAACTGTCACTGGCATCATGTTCTGCAGCGATTATTTTCTCAACAATTTTCTCCAATTGAACCTTGATTTCACGCAGCCCTACGATGCTAGTAATTTCACGTTTCACATCATCCAACTGAAAACACACAAAAAATAAAATAAAATCAGATCCAGCAAATTAAAACAATATTGAGCAAAAATTAAGAGAAAAGGAAAAGGCGAGCATACTGTTGGTATATCTTCATACGTAGAATACGTAAAAATTGACATTGCTGTGTCTCGAGTGAGATTGGGCGAAGAATTTTGGATTGAAAGATAGGGATTTGTTAATGAGGAAATATACACAGTAGGGTTATTTTGTTGGCTAGTATTACTGTTTTTAACTTAATTAAATTTGTTAAATTGGTTTGGCCCTGATTTGTCCAACTATACGACCCTCGTACAATGATTATTTTCTCTTAATTTCTTCAAAACCAAAATTTATTTCACTTTTAAAATAAAAACAAGTTAATTTATTTTAATTTAATCATTAACTTACCCTCAAAGTAACCTGATTTTAATTTATACATGACTAAAAAAAAGTATTTGATCTACCATATATTTTTTTTTCTTGATAACCGTGGATATCCTGAAGTTTATGATCGGATACTCACCTCAGTGGCACCGGGGGACTCGAACTGGTGACCATTGGAGAGCAAACTCAACGTCTGAGCAATTAAACAACCTCTCAGGGTTGATTCAGGGTTGATCTACCATATTAGTAAACAACTTTTTTAATATTAATTAAACGCAATTTGAACAATGAGTCAAGTTTTTGAAGCTGATTTTAGGAAATTACTAAAACCTCCTCTAAGGGCATGCATGGGAAATTTTTTCCATTGATTAGATGAAAAAATCGACGATTCTTAACTTTTTAAAGCAATGGTTAAATCATCCAAACAAGTATAGAGTAATTTGGGGCACATTTTTCAACCCCAAATCCGCGGTTTTTGGCCATTTCAACTTTTCTTCCAAAGTTTATCAAGCGACAAAAATCACACGAATCTGCTTGTTTATTCTTGTTGATATAAAAGATAAATTCCTCCCAGAGTAAAGTTGCAACGAGTCTACCCAAGTTCCATTGCCATTCAGGTGGTTGAATAGTGAAACACCATGTCCACCTAAAAGGCTAAAACTATCATCTGTTAGAAAAATTGAGATTCGAAACAAACTTTTATCTCATCCGGGTAAAAGATCCGTCCTACGACTATGTAGAAATATTTTCACGGACCTAAAGCGGTGAAAAAGAGCCACCAAAGCACCATATTAATATCCAACAAATATTTACGAAGTCAGACTTAGAAAAAATTTCTAAAATATCACAATACAATATTTTTACGGATAATTGCAATAAAAGTTCAAAACCTTTGAAAAGTTAGAAAAATTTCCCCAAATTTTTGATTTGTTCCTGCCGTTATCCGTAACATTTCCAACCAAATAAAACACTTTCGAACGATTTCCATCAATTTCTCTGTCAATTGACCCAAAATTTAACTTTGACCATATTTTAATCAATTAAAAATGAGGCAAAACAGTAAATATATATTAAAATAATAAAATAAAGGGATAATTAAATAAAAAAGGAAAAATTATAGTCGCAGTCCCAAACTTTTTCGTTTTTTGCACACTTTACCTCAATCTTCACTTTGTGTCACCACAAGTCCCAAACCTTTGAGAAAATCGCAGATGCAATCCAAAATGATAGAAAACGTTAATTCTATCGTCAATTGACCTCAAAAATGGAAAAAAAAAAAGAAATAAAATTTTGACCCATTTAAATAGAGGCATTTTCATCCAATTCTATTTCCCCCTTTTAAAAAATCATATGTACAGTTATAATCTCACTCCCTCTCTATTCTCTTTCATGTTACGAACCCAACATTCATCTTCTACAATTTCGAATGAAAATAGCCAACAATCGGATGAAATTCCAGAAGATTTTGTATGTCACATACAATGTCTTCTTCCTGAACTTGTATACGTTAAGTTTTTAATTTTTCTAAAATTTCTAGTTGTTGACATGTTTACATTAGGTTATCAAGTGTGATTATATAGTGCATATTTCCGTATTTTTAAGTATTTTATTGAGTTGGAATTATAAAATTTTCAATATTTATTCGCCATGCTTTTGCAGTCATTTAATTCAACTAGGGTTTGGTATTGATGGTGGGTTTCGTTATTTTTTTTTTTTGGCCAGGAAAAAATTCAAGTTATTTCACCATAAAATTACATTACGACGGTATATTTCTCACAAAGATGCAAAATATTGTATACGAGCATGGGAAAATAGTCTATCTAGACTACGTGTATCCTGATTGGTTTAATAGATTTTCCCTGGACAATGATACAAAGATGCAAGGTTATTTTGAGAAAATAAGGTATGTGTATAAGATTGAAAAGAAGAGATTGAGTGAGGCATCGTTCTGATTGGTGAAAGATTCAGACTTTATGAATGTAGTTATGTTGCTTGGTCAGAATATGCTTCCCGAGATGTGGTGTGTGCGTCGTATTTGAAGTATTGAAATTACCGTGGGACGACAAAGTAGGGCATGATATTTCAATTGTTGATGTTGACACTGGTGAGGTGTTGGAAGGGGTGGAAGAAAAGGGAAAACTAGATGTTGACAAACAATTTGAGCATAATGTATACTATGCAGTGGATGTTTATGATGATTTTCTAGATGGTGATGACTTGTATGTTGTAGGTGAGGCTAACAGCAATTGTGCAACTGATGAAATAGAAGTGGATGCATGGAGTTTTGTTAATATTCATGTAGGTGGAGTGAATGACTTATATGCAAATGAAGATTATGTACTTGCATATCACAATGAAGAGGCACGTGCTATAGATCACAATGAGTCACTTGTTTCACCTCAAGATGAGGAAACCGCTAAAGTACAACATGATGTACATGCTGCTTCACCCCCATGTTGATACACCACCTACAGATGCACACCTTTGTCGTGCAGGTGAATTGAGTGACTTACATGCAAAAAGATCATGTATCTACATGTGATGATAATATGAGTGATCAGCCTATAGGCGAAGAACCAGTGGTAGACTTGCATGACCATAATGAAGCATCTGCTACACCCTGCAAATACACCACCTAATGATGCACCCGTTGTTGATCAAAATGTGGACTATAGAGACACTAGAGAAGGAAATAGGGAATTTGAATTTAAGGAAAGCATAATGGAAGAGTTCAGTGAGCCAGATTATGAGCAGGAGGAAGATGTGCCTGTTGATGATGATGATACATTCTTCAGGTTGTCTGAGGGTTTTGATGTTGGTGATGGAAATCTAAGGACAGAACACGAGGGTACAACAGGTCATGTAGATGATGATGGAACAGATTATGATGAGTTAGATGATCTTATAAGTATTCCAAGTGATAATGAAGATGTTGGTAGCTCTTCATGAGTCAGGAATGATCCTTGGTTTAATCCTGCTACAGAAATGCAAAATCCAAAATTCCAAATAGGTACGAAGAATAAATTTTTATATTTTATTTTATGTTCATATCATTTAAAACTAAATTGTTTGCATCTAAATAGAATTGGACCTTTGTTTAATCATGCGGGCATGAAGGTATTGAGGGAAGCAGTTGTACACTATTTCGTTAAAAATGCAAGGCATGTCTGATATGTAAAGAATTAAAGAACAAGACTACGAGTCAAATATGAAGATAATTGTCCATGGATTTTGTATGCCTACCAGCAACTAGACAAAAGTTTCACGTTAGTGGTGGCGGCGACGGTGGCTATAGACGTGGTGGTGACATATTTCTGATTTTAGGTTGTGGGGTTGGGCTTGAGCGTAGGGTTGGGGGTGGGGTGAGGTGAGGTAGAAAAAGATACATTTTCTTTTTTCTTTTAATTTTTTCTTTTCTTTTTTTTTTTCGTTTTTTATTTAACTTTTTAATTATTTTATGGGGCAAAATAGTAAGTTGCCATTTTGCTCACCCCTATTTTGGTAGAAAGTGGTCAATTTTTTATTTTGGTGGTTAATTGATGGAGAAATGAATTGAAATTATCCAAAAGGACCTCAACTACAACGTTTGAAGAGATTAGGGGCAACAGCCTCAATAAATCAAAAGTTTGGGAAAAGTCTAGTAATGTTTCAAAGGTTTGGGGCTTTTGCTGCAATTATTCCATATTTTTATTATGGGGGAAAGGCAAAACTCATTTTAAATGCACTAGCATCTAGATGTCAACTGAGTCAGCTAAAACACTCAATGTCGACCTTGACGAGGGAGGCAAGCTCACAAATCCCCGTTAACAAATGCCAAACATATAACAACAGAATTTTCGAGGATATACTGTTAGAAATCAACTTCAATGGCAACTTAGTCTTGCTTCCAAATAATGAAACATGGACCACCTCACTCCTTTGTTTCATAGTGGTGCAATTTATTACACAACCGTGTCCTGCCCGAGCATGTTGATAAAAAATATCCTTCAAGGCAGTTTGACAGATTTGAGAAAAACTGACCTTAGCCAGGCTCTCGATAAGCTGGTCGTGGCCCTTCCTTCTGACTGTTCTTGTCGAGCTGAAAGAGAGGCTGCCTTCCTAAATGACCACAGATCTTCATACTTCTTGCCAAGGCGCTATCAAGCAAAGCTTAGCCAAACATACCACAAATCACCTCAATGACAATTTCTAGATATAGTTACCTTGAGAGGTTCCTACATGCTTGGGGCTTCTTGAGTACCTAAACACCACGATCAAAATTTCACAATGAAACACAAACAGAAGAAATCCCAAAACTTGTAAAATTCAAAGAAGCTTAAAAGCCATTAGCTGATTTTTGGTCTAAAATCTTCGTGGCACATGTCGGAGTTACCTAATAAGTCCAGTTCCAGTAGTCTTTCTACGAATGGCCTTGACACTCCAGTGTCTAAATTATTACATTTACAGAGTAATAACATTAATCAACATTCACATCATACATATACAAGGGTGCATAAATTAAGAGCACGAGTTAAAGACATTGTTAATCACTCGACTTACATCGAAGTTCCATGTTAATCTAAGTTGGCAACAAGGCAGAAGCCTACCAGGTCGGACATTCCATTAGACAAAAGCTAACAAATTTTGGCTGAGCTATCAAAATGAAACATGAAGCATGTTTGTATGAGCTTAAAAAAAACTAAAATTTTACTTTTGCTTCAAAACTTAATCGATAATGTGGAATATTGCATTGTAGGAAATATGTAAACAGGTTTGAGAACCAAAGATATGGCTGGAATCCTCAATAATCATTGAGAAGAATACTTCTCATTATATATACAATGTGTACAAATGTGTAAGCCTATAAAATAGGAAAGGATAATGCATACAATGGTGTAATCCTATAAAGAAGGAAATAACAATATTGACAAGAATAAGATCAACTATAATCAAGGATAGAATCAGTAGATGATTCTTCCTTATCAATATGCATTCATTCAATTTGCCATTGTTTGCAGAGCCATAGCCTATATATTGTCATTTGAGAATCCTAACTTTTGTGTCCAAGACATCACATGGTTCAGTGGAGTTGTCTATTGCTTCATCATCCAGTGCAGGATAACCACTTTTATCTGTCTTAATATTTTCTGTCTCCCCGGTGCTTCCCCTTGCTTTGCTGTCTTCTGTTGTTCTTGAATGTACAAATACTAAATAGAATGCCACGACAATTTCTTGCCCTATTAAGATGATGCTCTTCGACTAGAAGGGGCTTCACTTTAGATTGAATTTTCTGTTTGCGTATCTGCATGATTGTTATTGCCATATATGCACCTGAGCGCTGTCTCATAGCCAGTAAAGATAGCACCATTCACGAGGAAGGCTCTGGCAACTGCAGTTCCCAAACCTCGCCAGAGCACACTATATCCCTCTTCTTTCACACATCTCATGAAGCAGTCGGCAATTCCTTTGTATTTTGTTGGGGAGGATTCTGGTTGTGCTTGAATTCTTGTTTTCATTACGTCTAAAGGATAACAGAAAATCCAACTAGCAACTCCTGCTAGACCTCCTGCAAAAAGCATTGTTCTGAAGGTCTCCTCGCCACTCTTTCGACATCCAGGATGAAGTTGCTCTCTCATATACTCGTATGTCCAGAAATAGACGCCGTGAGCTGGTGCATCCCTAAGCACGGTGATGGTTAAACCCCGGTAAATTCCTCTCCAACCTTCTGTTCTTATTATGTTTCTTGCAACACATACTGGACCTTTTTCACTGCCGGATTGATTTTTGTTCTCGTTCGTTTTCCCCTGCAACTGTAGACGAATTTTAACCAGTTCAACAGGGCTAAGAAGTAGGCTTTGTATAGCACCTGTTCCAATTCCTCCTAGAGCAACCCCCTTGTATGAGGGCGGTTCGACCCCTGTACCGTTTGAACTAAAGGCTCGTGACAATATAGCGTAAGTCTGGAAGGCCATGGCATTCTAAAATAGCAAGCAAATGCTTTTCAGATTTATGTAAAAAGCTTGCACGGGATGTACTACTACGAAAATCACTTTATCAATGAACATAGACATGAATCACTTTATTCTGCGTATGCAAAGATTGTATCGGTTCGACTCTCAGTAAGTAAATTCGTAAAAATGAATCTTTTTGGTAGATATATACTTTGTGAATGATATAGAAAGTGAAGGAAAATAAGAACCTGGAAAAAGACAGAGGCCAAAGGGGCTGCCATGCCCCGGTAGAGGGCGCAGGGCCCATCTCTGGTGACAACACGGCGGAGGATGCTAAAGGCGGAACCGGTTCTTGAATTCTGTTGCCGGATTCTAAGTGTATCAAGAGGATAACCAGCTACAACACCGGCGGTGCCACCAAGTCCTCCGGACACAAACTCTTTTCCCCAACTGCTTGCTAAAAACTCCGGCCAGAAATCCATTTTTAGCTTCCCTCAATCCAGCAAATACCAACTCTTCTTCCCCACTTTCTACCAAATAAAGCAGTCTCCCACTTTTTTGAATCTGTATATAGAATGGAATCTCTCTGTTGATACCTGTTTGATAAAGAAATCAACTTGTAAACTAAAAATTTGAAGGCCCTTTTCTACGCAGATTCACTGCATAATTGAGTTCCAAATACAGATGTTTGGTTATATTTGGGGACTCTGGTAATTTGGTTTTCGCTTTTGCCTTTTTTTATGGTCAAAATAAATTAATGAGAGTTCATTCCATTCGGCAACTCTTGTTTGCCTGTGATAACCACGCATTTGATTTGTTTACCTAAAAACCACACCATAACAGAAGCCACCGATGCTATTTTGTTGGAAGCGACCATCCACTTTTCAATGTACCAAAAATGGGTGCCAGCAAATTTACCGGTACAAGATATGTGGTTAAAATTAATATTTTTTAATTGAATTTATAAATTAATTTATAATTTTTAATAAATAAAAAATTATATATTTGACAAATCGGTTCGATGTTGTTTCAAAAGGATTAAAGGTCAAACGGTTAAATCGTTTTCGACGCAGTGAATCGGTGATTAACAAAAAAAGAAAAGATGGAAAACAAAAAATTTTCGGTTAAAACGGATTGGTCCTCTCTGGTTTTCAAATTACTTTCAAAACTGGTACTTAAAAATATGAATGCAGAACAAAAATTATTCGAAAAATCAAAATTTTATTTATCAAGATCGTTACTGGATGTTCACGTGTACGTTACAATCAAGAAATTTCGATTAAGAATTTACCCAAAAATGATAATCAATTCTTGAAATGATCTGAATCACAAACTTTCAACTTTTAGTTCCAAGAATTTGATTCTTCCAACATTCGAGTCTTTTATGGTATTCTTCAAAATCAAGGTTACACCGATGAGTGGGTACCTTTTAATTAAATTAAGAAACTAATTTTAGTACTTNCCTTCTTAACATTGCAAACCCAGGTATATTTTGGTATTGTTTTTTTTTTTTTTTTGTTCCATCTAATCTCTATATATAGAGATAAAGGAGTTCCAGTTCATGTATAATAAGAATCCCATGTAAAATCCAAAGAGTGACCACAATTGAAATCAAAATAGGAGTTTTAATTAAAATATATAACCAATTAGTCTAAAAATTAAAGTGCAGTCCTAACACCTCAATTATAAATTCGATTAATTTTATAATTTTTATATTAATTATAATTAAATCCGAAACTTTTATAGTAATTACAATTAAGTCATTGTGCTTTATAGAGCTATCATGTGAACCTGATTGGACAAATATTATCCAAACTCTAATAATTAAACCATATTTAATTTACCATAAACAACGGAATTTAATTATTAGTCTTCGTTTTTTCCATTAAATGTGAAAATTTGTATTCTCGAAATATATAATATCACACAAGCTAATATATAACTGTAACATTTTCTTGTGATCAGCCAATATGCACCGATAATTATGCATGGGCATGAATGTCCATTTTACCCTTCTAATGAATCCAAAATGTCGAAATTTAGTCGTCGCTAAACAATGAGCTCATATTTTAATCGTTTTAACACAATACAAGATTAGTCACTTTACTTATTTTTCTGTGCGACAATTTTCAACACAAATTCGTATTCTCTACTCCACTCATTCTCAATCTCCCAATTCATCGAAATGTTTGAGCAATTAAATTGTTCGCAGTCATCGACATGGGCGGAATCCGTGAACAAAAAAATTTATATTGGATTGATACATAGGAAAAAATTCTCTAAAAATTTGCCCGCACGTACACCCTTACGTCCTCACTCACCGATGAATCAAATAACCATTTCACGAGAAGATATACACAACCACGTGAGGGAATTTAGATGAAATATTTAACGATGAAGTGAAATTTAATTCTCTAAACGATCATGCTATAAAATTAAACTCGATACGTGGTTCGTTTAACATACTCTAAGTGTAGTAGTGTCATGTTTAACTATTTATTCGATAAGGATAAATCGCGAACATGAACAGTAAATCAAATCCTTATACATTGATTGTGGACGAATTATTTATAATCAAAATATAAATTGTGTTACAATGTACTTCTCAACGCAAACACCCAATTTATATTACTACAATTGATCGTATGCACTTTAATTTGTATGCTCAATGTTAAATAATTGAAATAAATAAATAAATTCACAATTTGTTTATTACAAGATATTTTTTTATAACAATTATATCGTTATACAACCTAACAAACATTTTTTAAACATATATAAGGATTCAAGCCGATCCAAACATACATTTAAACATATATACTTATTTTAAGAATTCACCAAACTTGGACGAATAATTTTATTTATCGTTAAAGTGCATCACAATTCTACTGAATAATGAACGAATGGACCTATTACCACACAACTAGCATTCGACTTGGATGCGTCACAAGTTAGGAACAGTCGAGTTTAACCGCGTCTCAAGTCCAATATAACTCAATTTTTGTGTCATTAAAAAATAATAATAATGTAGATTTTCATTCTCCACCCCAAACGAGTCAGTGGTGCGGTGTGACAGGCAAACCAGTGGTCCCATTGGAAATGTCAATAAAGGCTGGTTGTGCCACGTGACTCGGATCAATCACTGTCACGGTATGTCACCCAACGTTAATGGAATCAACATAGGATAATGGAAAATGAAGTATACCATTACAAGATTTGTTATTTATTTTATTAAAGAAGGATGAGCCGCATCCTTGACGGCTCCCATATGTCCTGTTCTGGATTTTGGTGAAGAAGTAAATTGCAGGTTTTGCCTCTAATGGTACATGATGAAAATCTGTTTGTATACTTGCACTTACCCAATGGCCAAATCCATATTTTAGGATTCGAACCCTTGACGCGACAGCTTAAAACAAAATTGGAGATTTTCCACATTTCCCTTTTATCACTTGGATATGTGCCCTGAAGGTTTGTTATTTATTTTAGGGAAAATTGCGGCCGTGGTCCCAAACCTTTTATTTTGTTGCTATTACACCCAAATCTTTTTTTTTTTGCGGTCGAAGTCCCAAACCTTTATATGTAGTTGCAGCGTCGGTCTCAAACCTTTAATTCCGTCCATAAAATCGTCAGTCAACGTTTCAACAATAATTTTGACTCGAAAAAATTGCAACGCTGGTCCCAAACCTTTAATTTTTACGGTCGAAGTCCCAAACCTTTATATATAGTTATAGCGTTTGTTCATTTCACGCATTCCGTCCATAAAATCGTCAGTCAACGTTCAAACAGTAATTTTAACTCAAATGATATCTTAATTGATAGGTAAAATTGTCAAAAGAAGTTATCTAAAAACAAATGTTTGTTTTCTTCAAATCCTTCAATCTTTTCACAGACATCACATTTGCATCATCGATAACTATCTGATTAGATAACAATTCGATCTGATTTGTTATAATAATCGAATCGATAAATTATTTTTATGACATGTTATTTGTCACTAAAATAAATAAATGAGAAAATAAAA